TAGGGGTTTCACATTTTATCTTGAGAACCTACGTTGGACTTAGTTTCTTTTATTATGTTTTAGTTTTTAAATTCCTTTTGAGAACATGTAAAGTGATTTAAAGCCTAAATATATTTATTTTGGAACTTCTTTTATCTATTAAACTACCAATATTTTAGACTAAGCAATGTGAATATTTTTACTTTTGTATTGAAGATTTTATTTCGAGCACATTGTATTTTTTTATATTATATTTTAGATTAAATTAAATTTTTGATTATTTATCTTTTATATTTGAATTAATTAGGTTATTTTAAAGTAATGATCATTTTCATTTTTGCGACATAATTTTTGAATCAATTTTTTACTTATTAAAGATTTGAAACTTAAAACATTAAATTCACCTATATAAAAATTATTAAATACAAATGGCGTTTGAATCAAAACAGCTATAAACATAGTAAAAATTGTGTGAAAAATAAATCTCATAAATAAGTAGAAAATAATATAAAATTAAATTTTCTGAAATTTTTTATTTTCATTTGGTTTAAATTTCAATTGTATTCAATAATTTTCGTATCGTTAATCATATGAGACAAGTTTCTTGTCTTCAATTAGTCAAAAAAAAAAAGAAGATTAAATTAACGAAAATTTAGGAGATAAGAGATCAAAATAAACATTTTAAAGATAAAAGATATAAAAAATAAGATAAAGGATGAATAAAATTATTTCTAATACATTATTTATTATTAGTTAATTTTTAAAAGTAAAAAAAAAATGAGAAATATTCTTTAAATAAGAAATGAGACCAACAAAAATTATAAATTTTAATATTTTTTAACAAATAGTAGAAGTGTATTCAAAGCAGTAGGTTATAAAATGTGTTTCTAACAACTCTCTTCCATCATCATTGTGCTAGTATTCTATTTATATTTTGGAGTTTAATTTGTTAGCAGCATAAATACTACTTTTATTTCTTTAATTTTTAGTACAGATATATATGTTGTTTAAAATGAGCAAAGATATATGATTTTTTACAAACATAAGTCTACATACAATAAAATTAAGTCCTCTAAAATATGAAATATAAAATATGGATTAAAAATCACTACAAAAAAAAGTCAATTTAGCCACCGAAATTAGTGATCAATTTTTTTTCGTCGCTAATAATGATATAATTAGCGACCGAATATGATTTGATTGCAAATTTTAGTTAGCAACCAATTTAGCGACCGAAATTTTTAGTGGCAAATAATTAGTCGCTAAATCGGTCGCTAAAATAATAATTGTTGATTAAAATAGCGATAGAACGAGTTTCGGTCGCTAAAAAAATAAAAATATTATTATTTATAAGCTTGACTATAAAAGAATACTTGATTTGTTAAGCTTAGAGAGGCTTGTTGTTAAAAAAATACTTGGGTAGTTGCTTGAAGAGGAAAGTCAAAGAATACTTAGTTTTGAGGCAGAAGTTATGTTTTATTTATATTAAGAAATAAGATTTTTGGTTTTAAAATGAAAACTTTTATATGCAGGGTCAATTTTTATGCTCTTATATTTTTACATTTCTCTCTTCTATTTGCACCTGAATAACCTAGAGAGTCAAGAGCCATAGGAGATCGTCCAGTAATTAAGCAACCTCCGCCTGACATTCATTGAGGTTAAGGGAAAGTGAATACTCCCGCTTTGGAGTGTGAGATATTTGTTATGTAACGAATTAGACCCCCAATTTCGTCATGTGTTCTTATATGTTTTGTGGGAAAAATCCCAATTTTCATTTGTATCTTGTAAATCTATGTTCTCTGTGATTCATATTACTTTGTGAATATTAATTGTTTTATATGTGTAAATAATTGCACTTGAATTGAATTATTTGTGAATTTATGAGTGCGTGTAGTTTTTATAGCAAACCCTTGATTTATAATGCAAAGTGAAGATTAATATTAATTGTGTGAATATGTAAAATTAATAGTATAATATAGTAGATTTAGGCTTTAATTGATGTTTTCGTTGATTGGAGTGAGTGACATGTGAGAAGTGTCAAACTTGTGCGATTTTTGCACTTCCCCAAGAACCGGTGTTGCGTTGGTGCATATTTATGGCGTTAGACATGATAATTTGCAGTGATCTTTTGTTCCATTTGTGTCGAGCGCCAAATAGGTCTTGTTCAGTGTTATTTAACACCATTTTTGCATAAGATTTTTTTAGGCTCTAATTTTTGGGAGCTAGGCGTGATAAAGTTAGAATTAGATTTTATGGCCTTCATAAGAGTTGTAGCCTTGGATGTTAGATTTTCGATGGCATTAGAATCACTCAAAATGGAAGTCTAATCTACTCGCAAAATCAATTTGATTGAGTGATCTTACAATATCTTTAATATGTGCCTTACATTAATTTGATCAAAACATATTCAAGTCACTTCTATGCTTTTAAGAAAAATGTCTTAAACAATATTGAAAGGTTTTAACTCTTTTTCATGGGTGAAAAGGTAATAATTTTTAATAAAATACCTTTTGAAAGATGATAGATCCTTTGAACAAAGGGGGAGATTTTAAAAATCTTTTCATTTTACCAAAGCAAAATACTTTTCAAGAATAAAGAAAAAAAAATTTCAAAAATATAAAAATGTGTTTGTCACCATCAAAAAGACAGAGATTGTTAAGTCAAAAAATGATCTACATCCCTTAAACTCAGTTTTAATGCTAACAAACAAAATTTTTTTATAAAGAAGAAATGTCTGCTAAAATGTCTTCAAACATATATCTGAAAAGCTTATCAGATGAAATGTAAGACACAGATCATCTATAAGACATTGTAAATCAGACGAAACATACAGTTTGTCTCATAAATATAAATATTTATTATTGATTGAGACTAACAACAAAGTTTTTTTTGAATGTTTCATTCCTTAAAAAATCAAATTAAAAAGCAGTCTTGGAACTCACAAATTTGTTAAAGGGAAGAGCCTTGCTTTTCGTCAAAAAAAAAAATTCCCTTAAATCATGGAGAAATGTAGTTAAAGTCACTACTACAATTGCTTTGCACTGACATTGCTTCTACAAGCTCCATTTGGTATGAAAAGTTGATAAATAACCTCCTTGATCTGATAAGAGGTACCATTAAATGAGCCAAACGATCACCTACCACCACAAGGAAAGACAATGAAAATAAAAGAAGCAAACTTGTGAGTTAAACTCAAAGTTTTGCAACAACCATATTTTACGAGCTACAATATAAGAGGATTCAAAGCACAAGAAAAAAAAGGAGACACCAATTCTAAGTGATACATATACATTTGTATAACTCTCTCTCTAAATCTATTCTTTCTTGTAAGCACTCATATTGCTTTGAATTAGTTGTATAACGTCTATGTGAGAAGAAAATAACACTTGTGTAACCTTGTTATAAGGTTGAGCCTGAAAAGAATTGTCTAAAAAAGAATACTTGTTTTGAGCCTAGAGAGAGGTTTATCTGAAAAAGAATACTTGTTTTAAGCATAGAGAGGCTTGACTATAAAAGAATACTTGATTTGTTAAGCTTAGAGAGGCTTGTTGTTAAAAAAATACTTGGGTAGTTGCTTGAAGAGGAAAGTCAAAGAATACTTAGTTTTGAGGCAGAAGTGGCTTGTTGAAAGAATACATGTATCTTTATTTAAAGATAGTGGAACTAAATCTGATTGAATTAAGAATTAGACGTAGTCTTGGTGATTGAGATAAAGTAGTATAAAATACTAGTGTTCCATTTGATTACTCTTTGCCCTTCATTTGACTAACATTACTACTTCACTATGAAAAAATGCGAGTTTTTGATACACATTATTTAACTCCCTTTTAATGTTTTATCTTTTATCCACAAAGTGCAAATTGTATCTTGTTTTGTGTTTATACTTTGTTGCATGTGTGCTTTATGCTATGTAGGTAACTTAACTCTAAATCTCTATCTATATGATGTTTGATGGTGAAAAAAAGTTTTAAAAATGATTTGAAAATAAGACTGATATGCAAAATCGATATATTAAGTTTTTACTTAAAATAATCAATTATTTAAGAAATAATGGATTATTTGTTATGTTATTCAATAACCTAAGAAACTTTGCTTTCATAATTGATTATTTAGCAAAATAATGGATTATTTTAGAAATAAGATTTTGGCATAATCAGTTATCACTCAAAATAATAGATTAAATTATTTTGGGTTGATTTCCAGGTCAATGAAGAACACAACAATCAATTTCCACGATCTTGGTTAATAAAACACACTCGCAGATTGCTTATTTAGTGAAATACACCCATGCTTGTTCACACTTGTGCATTCTTTTGAAATCCTAATTAGCTTTTGATATTTTCATAAGAGTTGTAGCCTTGAGTGTTAGATTTGCAATGGTGCTATAATCATCCAAAAAGGAGTTCTAGAACTCAACTTATAATCAAATTAGTGAGCAAAGATCAAATTGTCAAAATTAGGCTAAAATACTTTGGTTTTGTAATTTTTAAAAATATTATATGGTAAAATCAACTCTTGAGGTCAACATAGAAGTTGTAGATAATGATCTTAAATTTCAAATAAAATTAAGAACGACCGATTTTAGTAATTTAGCGACTGATTTTGGTGGTCGCTAAATCCAATTTTTTTTTGTAGTGATATTGGTTATAAAATTAACTATTGAAGTTTAAAAATAAATAATTTATTTTATATAAACACATTTTATTACAATTTCAACTCATTAATTATTAATACATGTTTTTTTTTGGAATATACTTTAGACGAGTTCAATCTTACTAGAATACGAGTTAAAAAGTGATATGAAATTTTTTTTTATTGATGTAGGTTCCATTTTATTTTGGACATATGGGTGTAGAGAAAGAAAAGATAAAAAATAGAAAAAGAATAAAAGTTAATAAATGTGGTAAATGATATGATGCGACATAAAGATATGTGTTAGAATAGTTTTTCCCAATAATATGCATACGAAAAAAAAATGGATACAAATTAGATGGTAAATTTGATAATAACAAAAACCCATGTAAAAATTATGATTGAAATATTATACATAACAAGTATAAATCGAAACCAGATAGATCATAAATATATCATGGATACAGTAGCTATTTATTAAAAAACACTATCTTGTTAATGAGTCACCTTTTCTATATTGGACATCATAACATAATTCCTTGGCTTGTTTGATTTGAACTTATCAGAGCATATACCTCATATGGCAGAGAGACATTATTTACTTACCATGGTTCATAGGAATTGACTTAGTGACCTATGGTGACCCCTACTAATAATCGGAACCTATAAGATTTAGAAGAAAATCTTTGTAATGGCCTGATGTATCTGAACGAACAGCATGTGTTAATGGTTTTCCATATTTCTTATAATATGCTATTTTTATTTGATACATGTCTATCTCAGTCCTTGTCACAATTACCCTAATTAGTCTCTTATCATCGGTTCCCACACCCTTCATTGACTTGCGCAAAATCTGCAAAATACCGAGAGTAGACATTATTTTGTGAATAAAGTGATAATATTAGCATGTTTACAAATCAATATGATAATAAGTAATTGAATTTAGAGATTTAGATAAAAGAAATTATAATTTTAAGGACTTTTTGAATTAAATTTCATTAAATCTAATGAGGAAAGTGACATTGAATCACAATATATGGATTAATTTAACCATTTAATTATTCTATTTCCTTTAACTACTAACAAATACCTTGACAACTTGGGAACAAAAAATACCTTGGCAAAGTACATAGCAGGATCAGTGGCACAACGTAGTATGGTTAAGAGGGCACTCGCAAAAGAACCAGAAGTTTCTTTCTTTATTGCCTACATGAGAAAGATGAGTGTTGAAGTTAAATCATAGAATAAAAAGGGAAAGAAAATACGTCCTACTTTTTTTTTTGTTGTTGTTGCATAAGGTCATTACTTGGTTTTGAAGCATATGTACCTTTTCAAGTGAGTGTCCATGTGAATTTATGTAAGCAGAGTTGACTGCAGCCAAATGTGTGCTGCTTTTTTCACTAAAAATCTTTATGAAGACCTTTTCATCAGTTCCAAACTTTTTTTCTCCTGCTTTGTAAAGTAGTTTTGCATCCTCTTCTACTATTTCAAGGTCCAACTCTGGGCCTTCATAACGTGGGGTACTTATATAGGCAAGTAACAACTATTAAAGTATCAAACATTAATATATCATGATTTTGTACAAGTTTTCACAAGTGTTCTAGAGTCTATACTACTTAATTGCATCATCCTTAAGCATGATAATAATATGATCAATCATGTGATTTGATTACCTAACATATTATTCTTGACAAATTTTATTTGAGTTAAATAGAAAAGTTGATCTTACTAATAATTATGGAGTGGACCCACATCATCTATTTGGATGCATTTATATTTCACCCAATAATAAAGAGTTGTTGGGAAGAATATGTTTGAGAACATGTTATAACATTTCTCTTAAATTATGAGAGAAAACATAATACAATTCAAGGTTAAACTAATTTATGACTTTAACTTATATATTATTTTATCAAGAAATGTCAACAATTCTAACATGAAACTTCTAAAGACTTGTGAAATGTTTAACTTGTGCATGGCTTCTTGGATGAATACAATGTATAACTCATTTTTTTTATGAATAAAAAAATGGAATCATAGTATTGTTGACAAAAGTATTGAGAATTTTCACCAATTTAATTACCTGAATGTAATAATTTAACTTCATTACAATAAATCACATGGCCCTTTTACTTCTAGGATTACTTGTTGAGTCTTATAACAAAAAATGTCACTTTTAGACTGAATTTCATAACTTCAATGACCAGTATATATAAAACATCAAGGTTTGAGTCTCTATGCAAAAATTATTAGCCATTGTGAAATTAAACAAATAAAAAATCCTATCCAAATTTAAGAGTCTTAGAATATTTATCCCAACAAATGATAAGTAAAATGTCTTGTCACCATACACAATAACATCACTATTTGAATGAGCAGATCTATATATCATGAGTAATATATAGGACTAGTTATACAAAAATGAACAAAAGGTTTCAGGACTATTAATAGTCAATTCACTTGAGATATTATACAAATTCTTGTACATGCATATGCCACCAATATCTCAATAGAAAATAGAAAAATATGAAATTAATTCAAAATTTGATAGAAGTAACATTGTAACTTTTCCAAGAATCATGATATTAAAGACACTATTTCAAGAAGCACCATGAATTTATCAAGGTACTACAAATTAAAATAAGGATACGTACTTGATAAATAATATAATATCCATATTGCTAAGCTAACTAACTTTTTTCTTCTTCATTATTTAACTTAATAAAACCTCATTGCCTATAGCATGCTAGCTTTTCGCTTTAATAATGTTTGCACCTAGGATATATGAATCATACTATAAATAATGTATAATTATAAAAGACCTTGCAAAATGATAGTAATGGTAGGGGATAAATCAAGCACCTTCTTGTGATCACCACTGGTTTGGTTTTCAATATCTTTCTCAAGTTCGGAGTGGTAAGTTGATAGATAAACTTCTTTCATTCGCCTTATTTGTGATGGGGTACGAGAACATATTACTTCTGTTATAGCTTGATTATCAACAACCGGGGTGGTTAAGGCTTTTCTTGCAACCTTAGCATCCCTAGTTGGGGGATCATGCAACCAAAGTGACACTGCTTTCTGAAAGCATTCAAAAAGCAAGATGAGCAAAATAAAATGAAATCTCCTCATTTTAAGAACAACACAAAATTATGACATTTGTTTAAGTACCTTGACATGCCCATGAAGCTCTTTTGATATTCGTTTGGAAAGTAGTTCAGAGTAATTGGTTTCGTATTCTTGTTGAATGAGGCTACGTTGTTCTACATTTCTATGAGAAAGGATTTTGATAACTTTAGATGTGTCACAACCAAGACCTGTAATGACAAATACATTATAAGATGACTTAAATTGTGATTTATTTGCATATAATATTTCTCTCATTTACCTTAATTTCATATCTTGCTCATGTACAAGCATTAAGAAAAAATATAACCATCGTATCATATTCAATGCGATATGGTAAAGTAAAAAATCGAAAATTGAAGGAGGAAAGTAGAACACATTTTTTTTCATAGAATTAAAAGACATCAATTCTTTTACATCCTAACACAACTTTAATAAACTATTGTTTATTTAACCATTATACTATTAATGGATGAGTTGAGCATAATATTGATAAATGAAAATCAAGGAAGGTAGGTAGATGATAACAGGAAAATGATCTAAAGGGAATGTGCAAACGAGGAGGGGGGTCAAAGTGGAGGTGAAAGAATAATAATAATATAAAAAAAAAAATCAAAGGCAAAAAATAATTTGCAAAGAGTTTGAGTTTGTGATTTGTGACATATACTTGGTGTCATTATGCTTTCTCAAAATTTCTTCCTCATTACCATTTGTTTACTTAATTTTCAACCTTATTTACAATCAGAATACCTACAACCGAAAATTGGAAACTAATCTTCAACTATTACTTCCATTTCCACCCATATTAACCAAATTAAAGATATGCCTCTCCATTATCACATTATGTTCATGCAAATAATGAAGTTTTTTAATGTTCATCACAGAGTTTCATCATTTAATATAATAGAAATTAACTATATATTTTCTCTTTGCATTTACCAATGAAAAACTTTCTAATATGCCTTCATAAATATAAGAGTTTGGGTACTCTTATTGAGAAAATCTCCATGTGTGTGTGGGTATACCCAAACTCATTCAATTATGGACTCAAAATGTAATTGTACCAAATTAATGCCCATAAAGATTTTTTTAATAGATGCAAATAAGGAGAAAGCAAAACACAAATTACAATCATCAAAACAAATTAAAACCCCATAACATTAAGCATGATTATATGGTGGAGGGGGTAGTCTAATGACCATGACGATGATCTTGCTAATTTCAATCTATGTATTTCCTTAAATGTTCATTATGCAATCACTTGAGCTATTAATTGTGGCTCTAATAGTACTTTAATGTGTTCTTTTTTGTGTGTTTGTGTTCATTAACAACCTTTGAAAGCTTTATGCAACTTGATAGCATCTTCCCTAGGCGATGGTATCACTGGAGGTATGGTCAAAGTTGACATTATCAATCTTCAACTTTTCCGTCTCTGCCAAAATATTTAAATGTTACTGCATAAATAAGTTGTTTTGTTTTATTGTCAGCTCATGACATTTTGAATGAAACACAGACAATAAAATTGGATAATGCTTCTTGCCAAAATCAATTGAAAATTTACTAATATTGGTGTTTTTTTTTATCAACTTATATTTAGGATACGAACTATGCCTCAACTAATTTCAAGGGCAACAATCCATGAATATAGCAAAAGAGAGCAATGGCTATAAGATGTGTGTTCATCTAGAGTTACGTATAACCCGTTAATTTGATTATTGTATAAATATAACAAACATACAAATTTTAAGTGTTGTGTTTAATGTTTATAGATAAAAGAAAAATTGTAAATACGAAAGTCAGAATTAAATATGTACATAAAATTAGATAAAATTCAAATAAATGAAAATTTATATAATATCAATTGTTAAAATGTCTTAAACCCAAAGAAATATGCTTGACTTGTTTGCAAAATCAACGTCAAATGATACAAGTAAAACTTATATAATATGATTAGAGGAATTTTTTGTGAAGGAAATATGCTTGACTTGTTTGCAAAATCAACGTCAAATGATACAAGTAAAACTTCAATAATTTAAATAAGAGAAAATATAAATAAATAAAAAATAATTGCCTCAAATTCCAAAATGAAATTAAAAAAAAATAATCTAAACCAAAACAATATACACATAACACAATTCACACCACTAGAAATGAACTATTTTTTTGCGGAAAATTTTTTATAGAAAAATTCTACTAATTTTTATGCAAAAATATACATATGTTTGTTTTTGAAAATTTTACTATGAATATATTAGTTATAGGATTTTTTTTTTGCGGATAAAAATCTCTTAAAACTTATCATAAAATTTTCTTTTTAGTATTTCTTACTAATTTTTTTATATACATAAATATGCAAGCAGTGTTTAATAAATTTTTTCAAAAATTCATAAGTTTTCTCACAGATTTTCCTATGAGTTGAAACATCTAACAAACATTGAAATAAAAATGATATTTAGAATTTTTAATTTAAAAAATATTTGCATTTTGAACTCAAATCAACTCTCAATGTTTTCACACCACATTTTCATCAATTTTTGTTCGAATCAACTATTTCTTTTATTAATAATTATTTTTATTGTTTACGAGATTTGGTTTACATTAAAAAAGAAACATGTTATTTGTGGCAGTTAAAATTGCATTTTCTAACTGTTAAAAACTGTCACAAGTTGCATTTCTAGCATTTTAAATAACCGCCAAATTCCCTAGCGTTAAAAACTATTTATTGCAAAAGTGAAAATTGGTATTGTTGCTATAAACGTCACAAAATGTATTTTTAATCTATTTACTTTTAACATTTTTTTAGTGATTTTTAACCACCAAAATATGTGTGATGTGTATATTTTTATTTAAAAGTTTTTGACATTTCTAAACAGCCACAAGATTTTTTTTCACAAATCATACTAGCTAGCGTACACACAATTAATTATACTTTAGTTTTTATCATATTTTTTTTTACTACAATGGTTAACAACCAAAAAAAAAAACACTCCGCTATGGTCTGTTGAGTGCTAACAATTTAGCACCAATACATGATTAAAATTGAAAGGGTTTTCAGATGATAGGAAATAATGCTCTATCTAATGCACTATAAATTTTCTTGTTATAAGGAGTGTGAAATACAAAGTATTCAACATTAGAAATAGAGAATTGTTTTCCCTCTTGTTTCTCATATCTGAAAAAGGCAAAATGATAAGGTGCTTGGTGATAGAGAACCAAATAGCCCAAGCCCAAAAGTGAATAGGCAATGATGATTAATCATTATTATATATGTATATATATACATACATACATATATATACATATATACATACATACATACATATATATATATACACACTTTTTATTTCTTTTTTATTAAAATTTTAATTAATTAAATTCAGGGTAGAAGGATGTCATAGATAGAATGTGTCATCAAGATTTTTAGCTTAGGATTTTATGTTTCCTTAGCCTTCATCATGTTTAAGACCTGTGTTAAATCCTTAAGTAATGTAATGGCTTTTTATTAGTCATTTAGTTCTTGGTACCTTTTTTGTATTTATTTCATGTTTTTATTTTTGGAGGTTTTGAACTGTTTTCATCTATTAAAGTTTATTTTATACCTTTATTTATCTTTCATTTATGTTTATCTTATAATGGCATGCGAGTAGGGGTTTCACATTTTATCTTGAGAACCTACGTTGGACTTAGTTTCTTTTATTATGTTTTAGTTTTTAAATTCCTTTTGAGAACATGTAAAGTGATTTAAAGCCTAAATATATTTATTTTGGAACTTCTTTTATCTATTAAACTACCAATATTTTAGACTAAGCAATGTGAATATTTTTACTTTTGTATTGAAGATTTTATTTCGAGCACATTGTATTTTTTTATATTATATTTTAGATTAAATTAAATTTTTGATTATTTATCTTTTATATTTGAATTAATTAGGTTATTTTAAAGTAATGATCATTTTCATTTTTGCGACATAATTTTTGAATCAATTTTTTACTTATTAAAGATTTGAAACTTAAAACATTAAATTCACCTATATAAAAATTATTAAATACAAATGGCGTTTGAATCAAAACAGCTATAAACATAGTAAAAATTGTGTGAAAAATAAATCTCATAAATAAGTAGAAAATAATATAAAATTAAATTTTCTGAAATTTTTTATTTTCATTTGGTTTAAATTTCAATTGTATTCAATAATTTTCGTATCGTTAATCATATGAGACAAGTTTCTTGTCTTCAATTAGTCAAAAAAAAAAAGAAGATTAAATTAACGAAAATTTAGGAGATAAGAGATCAAAATAAACATTTTAAAGATAAAAGATATAAAAAATAAGATAAAGGATGAATAAAATTATTTCTAATACATTATTTATTATTAGTTAATTTTTAAAAGTAAAAAAAAAATGAGAAATATTCTTTAAATAAGAAATGAGACCAACAAAAATTATAAATTTTAATATTTTTTAACAAATAGTAGAAGTGTATTCAAAGCAGTAGGTTATAAAATGTGTTTCTAACAACTCTCTTCCATCATCATTGTGCTAGTATTCTATTTATATTTTGGAGTTTAATTTGTTAGCAGCATAAATACTACTTTTATTTCTTTAATTTTTAGTACAGATATATATGTTGTTTAAAATGAGCAAAGATATATGATTTTTTACAAACATAAGTCTACATACAATAAAATTAAGTCCTCTAAAATATGAAATATAAAATATGGATTAAAAATCACTACAAAAAAAAGTCAATTTAGCCACCGAAATTAGTGATCAATTTTTTTTCGTCGCTAATAATGATATAATTAGCGACCGAATATGATTTGATTGCAAATTTTAGTTAGCAACCAATTTAGCGACCGAAATTTTTAGTGGCAAATAATTAGTCGCTAAATCGGTCGCTAAAATAAGATAGAATGTGTCATCAAGATTTTTAGCTTAGGATTTTATGTTTCCTTAGCCTTCATCATGTTTAAGACCTGTGTTAAATCCTTAAGTAATGTAATGGCTTTTTATTAGTCATTTAGTTCTTGGTACCTTTTTTGTATTTATTTCATGTTTTTATTTTTGGAGGTTTTGAACTGTTTTCATCTATTAAAGTTTATTTTATACCTTTATTTATCTTTCATTTATGTTTATCTTATAATGGCATGCGAGTAGGGGTTTCACATTTTATCCACCACCATTTTTTTCTTCCCAACTTACCAATTTGCTAAATTACTTTGATAATATTTTCCAACCACCTAAAGGTTTACCTCCAGTTCGCCCTCATGACCACCACATTCCCTTACTACCAAATTCTACCCCAGTTAATATTCGACCATATCGTTACCCACATTCTCAGAAATCCATCATGACTACCCTTATCTCAAATATGTTACAGGAAGGCATTATTACTCCTAGCACTAGCCCCTTTTCATCCTCTGTTATTCTTGTTAAAAAAAAGATGGCACATGGCGCTTTTGTGTGGACTATTGAGCATTAAATGCCATTACAGTTCGGGATCGATTTCCAATCCCTACAATAGATGAGTTGTTAGATGAATTAGGGGCAGCACGAGTATTTTCTAAGATTGATCTACGCTCAGGTTACCACCAAATTCGAGTTATTCCATCAGATACTCATAAAACTACTTTCCGTACTTTTGATGGCCACTATGAATTTCTAGTGATGCCATTTGGGCTTTCCAATGCCCCGTCAACTTTCCAATCTGCAATGAATGATTTACTAAGACCGTTTTTGCGAAAATTTGTTTTGGTTTTTTTTATGACATACTGGTCTATAGTGAATCATTTTCTGCACATGTCACTCACCTTCGTTCTGTTTTGCAGCTCTTACATTCTAATCAATTTTACGCCAAGTTACCTAAGTGTGTTTTTGGTGTTACAACGGTTTCTTATTTAGGTCATGTTATTTCTAGACAGGGGGTTCATCCTGACCCTGAAAAAATACAAGCTATCCTAGATTGGCTAGAGCCTCGTTCTCTCACGGCATTAAGAGGATTTTTGGGTCTTATCAGTTTTTATAGGAGGTTTATTTGCGATTATGCAGCCATCGCCACTCCCCTCACCGATCTCCTAAAAGCTACTCAATTCAATTGGAATACAAGTGCTCAACAAGCTTTTACACAATTGAAATCCCGAATTACTTCTGCTCCAGTCTTGGCTCTCCCTGATTTTAATTCTTCCTTTGTGGTGGAAACTGATGCTTCTGCAACTGCCATTGGCGCTGTTTTATCTCAAAAGGGCCACCCAATAACCTTTTTTAGCAAGAAACTCTGTCCAAAGATGCAATCTGAATCAGTATATGTGAGAGAGATGTTTGCAGTTACTGAGGCGGTAAAGAAATGGCGACAATATTTAATTGGGCATCACTTTCAAATTATTACTGATCAACAAAGTTTAAAAAACTTACTCTCTCAAGCTATTCACACTCCAGCCCAGCAGAAGTGGGCCACCAAGTTGCTTGGTTTTGATTTTGATATTATTTATCGTCCTGGGAAGCACA